ATCTTTACTACCCCAGAGCGGACTATGGCCGTTAAAATCTCCTATTATGATAAAGGCTCAGGCAGCTGCTCTATTAAAAGACCATTTAAATCTTGCTGATCAATGTGCTCATTTGGAGGCAAATACAGAGAAACGACTGAAACAAACAATATCAAAATTTTGTTTGAGTAGCGACAACTTGGAGGGATGTCGTCAAAGGAAGTACATTTGAGGGATAATCCAGTGAGGTGAGGAGACCTACACCTCCACTGGCACGCTCACCTGCAAGGTTATCCTTCCTGACGAAAGAAAACCTCCGAAGTTTTGCATGTTCCTGGTTTCAGATTTGTTTCCTGTATTGCGAAGCACACAGGATGATAAGCATTGATTATAGAGCTTTGATGTCGAGCAAATTTCGGTGGAAACCGCGACAGTTCCATGAGATACGAGGGTGGCCATTATGTTTGGTGCGTGCTTTTTTGTTTTTCGTGGAAGTAGTTGTTTGGTGTTTTGGGAACTTCCAGACCCTCTTCTACTTCCATATTGTCTGAATCCAGATTCAGAAATTAAATCGTCAATTGAGCTATTGCTGGGAACTTCTTTTTGTTATGTTTTTTTGTAGGCTTGTTTTTGGTTTTTTTGAATTACTATTTCTTTTTTTGTATTGTGTGAAGTGGGTCTTTCTTTTTGTTATTAATTTGAGGCTATTGTTTTGTTGATCAAAGATGTTTGGGTGGCAAAAGATTTTGTGGATTTAACAGCATTGGCATAAGATAAATTTGGCTGAATGTGTGCTTTGAACTTATCTTCTGGCTTCGGCATAAGATAATTTCTAGTAACTTTTTGCAGTCTGAACTTCCTTTTCCAGATTTCCATTTTGGACAAGAGCGTGAAAATGCTGGGTGTTCACCCTTGCAATTTATACACAAGGCGCAGCGGTACAATTTATCACTATCGTGGCCAATCAACTGTGAGCATCGGGCGCACGTAAGGGTGCCACGACAGGACGTCTTAGAATGGCCGAAACGCTGGCATTGGAAGCATCGCATAGGGTTGGGAATATAAGGTCTTACAGGACAATTTAAGATATCCGGCCTTAATATTCTTAGGCAGATCAGGCGTTTGAAGGTAAGGATCACGTGTTTCGTGTCAATCAACTTACCTTCCTTTACGCATCTTGATCCGCCTAGCACCACAGACATTTTGGTCAGCTAACTCGGAGACGAACTCTTCTTCTGAAACACACAGAAGGTCGATCTTCCGAGATCACGCCTCTACAGGAATTAAGTGTTTGTGGCTGTTGACACAGTTATAGCTACTTGTCCAAGTTTGGTTTGAAGTAAAAGTGAAGCAGACTGGGTGGCCGAAAGTTGTATCAATAAGCAGTCTCCGGAGCGGAGACGCTTTATGTTCCTTGGCTCACCTATACAAGAATGAATGTATTTGTTTACCAGGAAAGGAGACATCTTTTGCAATTCGCCAGAAGGACTAGAGACAACAACAAAGCGGGACAATTCAGTATGTTTCTTTGGCATTTGCATCGGTACGTAATCTTTTGCTAATGGATTTGCAATAATTTGAGTACTTTGGCATTTGCATTAGTACGGATCTTCTTGCTAATGGATTTGTCGACAATTTATATATCTTGGTTGGTTTCATTTGAGTCAGGTTTTTTTTTTTTTAATATGAAGAGTAAAGCAATGATTGAAAGAGAAAAAATTCGGGTCCGACGGCCCCGCTCACCACGGAGCCCAACAAGGGAACACGATGTTAGGGCTAGCCGGACCTATACGCAAACTGAAGCCCCACAGTCGGCTTTCCCAAAAGCAGGTACTCCCGAGAGCTTATCCCCAAGCCACCGACACAAGGACTAGTGACCAGCCGATTGGCAACCGTGAGGACGACTAAGGTGCCTCCGGTTTAGCTGAAGCAGAGGCCAAAGCAGTGTGTTGGGGACAGTACCTCGCCCCTCAACTACCAGGACCCTCCTTTCCAGCGACACGGGTATCCATACACGGCAAACACGTGGGCAGTTTTCTTGCCACTCAAAAACTAGAGACAAGGGCTGTTCCAGTCTCTCGTGACGAGCCCCAAACTCCGAAGAAAGAAATCACAAGGGAGAACGGAAGGGAAAAAGCTCCACCCAAGAGGAGAGGAGAGGAGAAGGAAAAGAGGATAGATGACTGGGGCTCCAGGATCGTGACACCGTCTCAACAAGATACCTTAAAGAGCTAGGATACCTCGAGATTGCCACACCTGTACTCACAAAAGTGAGCCGCTGAGGGGGATTAAGATTAGAATCTGCCTAAATTGATAAATTTCGTGATGATATGACATATTACTGCTAGAATTAGTTTGATAAGTACGCCAGAGAAAATTGAAAGTATTATTTAGAAGGAAGAAGACACCTTAAATAATATGAATAACATTAAACTAGAGTTGATTTCTTAAGGACAAAAACTGAATTACAAAAATCGACAGTATTTTTGTGAATATAGATATATGAAATGGTTAGCCTAGATGACCGGTTTTTTTTTTTTTTTTTACTGAAAGTTTCAAATAAAGGCATTTAAGAAAGAAAAAAAAGGTTTAAAAAATTTTGTTTTATATGAGAATTGGGGGAATTTACTTTCGTTCAACATGCACTACACATACGCATGCGAAATTTCTGGATTCTCGTGGTTATGTCAACGCCTTTTTTTGCATTATTATAATTAAAAATAAACTCAAGCTTTTAGTTTACCACTTGTTCCTTCAATCAGAGTACAAGTATGATTGTTGCAAGTAGTTAACAAACAAACTGACCTTTTGTCTGTCCATTTAAAAAAATTAACTTCTTTAGGAATTTTCCACACTCGCAATGTCACAAGATTCTGGAAACTTCCCTCGTCTTTCTAACAGGGTTCGTACACATTTCTGCTCAAGGAAATTAAGTACTTTTAAGGACGTTTAATGAAAAAAATTAAGGATTCAGAAGATTTTGCAACCCTTCTGTATGCCAAGTATGAAAAACATTTCATGCTAAAGTTTTGTAACATCAATTTCGCATCCCATGGATGCTGCGTCCAAGAACATATGTTCCAGCGTAGCTATGCCACTGATGATGATGCATTGAGACATACAAGATGAATCTTTTAAATTTGTCAGTTTTCAATTTCTTTATTAATAGAAAAATTCCTTTCTATAAGTGCTTGTCCATGTGATACGATTAGAAGCGTTACCAATTCTGTAATAGTAAAAAGCCAGAAATATGTCGGAAAAAAAAAAGTCTCAGGAAAAAAGTGTAAAATTAATTTTATAGAGAAAACTGATGCATATTGAGACAATTACATGGGAAAACTTTTACCATGAAAAAATTAAAACAAAAGCATTTTTAATTAATTACATAGTGCTTTCGCTAAGAATAGTTTTGTAAATTGCGCTAAAGCGAAATTTAAAGCATTTATTACCTTATTTTTCAGATTCAAAATATTGTATAATAAGTCCCCAAAAATTTGCTAGCGAAAAATAAAAAAGTTTCATTTTAATGTGATCTCTTGAATACAGTTTCAATATATTAGCATTATTTTAATGAAATTGATCAATGTTATAATGTTTAAAAAAAATATTATCGAAAAATTCCTCATTTCTGAATTAAAAATTTTCTATAGAAACTGATCTTAAAATCGCCAAAATGTTGATAAGTAGCCAAATTTGGAACCGTTTAATAACGAATTCAAGTTCCCAAAAGTGAAAAATTGTTTAAGGGCTTTTTATTAGAAAAAATTAAACAATTTCAAAATGCTTGTGTTACACTTCGCGCTCAGAAACTTGAGAATCTTACAGTTTATATTAGAAACAAGAAATAAATTATAATCCATGAACATATTCAACCACTGAAAAGATAACTACATTTATCAATGAATCGCCAAAAATATTTGTCCAAAATGCTAATTCACATTCAAAATGGCAATCGTAAATACAGACAGAAATTTTAGATTATTAAAATTAAGAACCTCCTGCCGAATTTGGTCGAAATTAAAGACTTTTAAAGGAGCAAAAATCAATTCCAAAAAAATCTACGGACTTTTAAGCCATATGAACCCTGTTCTAAACGACAATCTGATTGGTGCTACTCCAGCTGTCCGAATGACGCTCACGGGATACGATTCGCCAAGAAAGTGATCCCTTTCGACGTCAATGCGAAATTAGCATTTTTGGGGATCGCAGTATGAAACTCCCCGATTTTTCTGATCAAGTTTCGAATCCCCCGACTTTTCTTGGTTTTCCAGGTAGTGGGGCAACCCTGTATAGAACAACAAATGCTACTTAAGCAACATATGAAAAGCTTTTATTTAAAAGATGTCTTAGCAACCACAGTCCCGTGATTCCCCAGTTTTGCGATTCCTTTTTACTAATTTTTTTTTTTTTTTTTTTTTACATCATTAACTTCTGGTAAATGATTTTAGTTAAAAACACAGTTTTTTGCAGCATTAACTCACACTTCAGACAGCTTCTCATATAATCATTGTTATATATCTATATACCATGATTCCAACACAACTTGCTCTTCCATTTTAATGCAGCATAGTATAAATCTAACTTTTTGTTGAACAAGTTCAAAAGTGAATATTGTGCATTTTTACACTTCTGAGCAAAGTGCAAAAGGCAAAGTCCGAGTCTGAGATGAGCATTAAGAGTCTTGTGCATTGCTATGTGGTATTAAATGCCTAGGCAGTCTAAAGAATTGTATTTTAAAACTTAGTGAATTTAAATTTTCCTGGTAACACATTCACTATCATTTACGGATTCACTACATTAAATTTTTCCATATTATATTTAGAATTATGCAAAACAGGACCATTTTCTAGGTTAAATAAATGTTGCATTTAATGTTTCCCTGAAAAAAATCCTTAAGAACAAGCTTAATTAAGAAGTATTAAAATTTGCCATGATATGCTCACATGACCACATCTTTGAATGTTAGTATTGCTATATATGAATTATCTATGACAATTTTATTAAAATATTAAAACTGCATATATTCACAAATTTAAAATTTTATTTTTTACATGCTAGACATTTTTTTAAACATTTTACATCACATTACATACAACTCAATATGACAAAAGTTATGCTAACTTGTACTTAAAAAAACACTCATTACATTACAAACACTACACATTACATACTAAAAAAAAAAAACACTCTCTCAATGCATATTCCAAGAACAAAATGATCTATTCAACAAACAAAATGCCTGAAGGTTTGCACAAAATACAAAATCATCTATATATAAACACTTAAAAAAAAAGGTACACATTATGTGATATATAGGCAATAAAAATTATCAACATCAGTTCTCAAACCTCATCATGAGTAAAATGCAAATGGCACTTAAGCATGCAATATATTTGATGAAATAACGATTTACATGTGAGAACATCTTGTTTTGTGCATATTCAATTAAATAATTTAGTTTAATTATTTTATTATGGAACTATAACAAATAATGCAAAAATTGTATTAACCCAGAACAACATGCATAATCAAATGGAAAATTCCCACATCAAAAGGCCAGAGGTTTGAATTCAAAGTTAAGCTTGATTTTAGCATCTTATCTGTGTAGAGCATTTAAAATTCAATACAAAGATTCTCTGGGTAAAGGAAGAAGAGGCACAAATCCCATGGATTTCACTCCTAATTTATCCTACAACAAAATTATGACAAAATTTAACAAAAATTATAACCAACTGATTCAAAGCCTATGCAGTTTCTACCGTGTATCCGTTTCTGCAAATCATGCAAAACTACCATGCATCTATTTCTCTTTTGGTATCAAAGATCAGTACTTAACTACTGATAATGAAGCCAAGATATTATGAAATAATTATAATAGAACATACTTATACATGGGCCAAAACATTCTTATATTTGTAACTACATGAAAGCGCACACTATTAAAATGGTAAATACTGGGTTAAATTTGTTTTACTTTCTATTTATGAGGCATGCATTTAGGAGAATACATGTTTGCACATTAACAAAGAACAGAGCGAGGGCAATTAAACTATTTATTAATATAACATTGCCACAAAAAATGCAAATTATTCCTGAGCAAGAGTATAAAGAACCCACAGGAAAGTTTTTGCAGTTTGTAAGAAGAGGAAAATATAAAGGGAACATCTATATTCATTAAGGATCTTCTGCAAAAGTTGGAAGAAATCCAGACCACAGTCAAGCAATGGAATCCCAAAGTTGAGACACCGAGCATGGCAGATCTGATCAGTGGCAATGTCACGCATTACTTCAGCACCAGCTTGAAGAAAATAAATATGCCAATCACTTTATATAACTCCTTGAAACTTGGATCTCTCAAATAAGGCCAATGCCAAATACTGTACACCAACAATAAGCAGCAAAACTTAGGAGCCAGACAGACTGCTCTGGGTGACAGAATGTCTATCATTGGTTCTGCTTCAAAATTATCGGGGGGGGGGGAAAGAGATATGCATAGTCAGGAATAGAAGAAAAACCTGGAAAGAATCATATTAAACTGTTAGGTCTGGAAAGAATCATATTAAACTGATAATTTCAGAAAAAATAGCTACATACAGTACATGTGTATATCTAATAATTTACAACATTGATGGCATTTTTATGTTTACTTTGGACAGGCTCTGAAAGGACTAAAATTATTCCTATAGTAACTAACAGAAAATAGCATCCTGCATAACAAACACCATCCTTAAGAGAATTATTCATTATGTGAGGCATTACTGTACTATTTACTTCCCCCTCTTACTATTTGGAGATGGTAAAAATAAATACATGCATAATACAGGTTAGATTATGTATTTATGCAGTTTCAATAGACATGAGGAATTTCCCACAACTCTAAAAATATTACATTGCATGTCACTGTAGAATGTGTTATATTTAATACAAATGCATAAAGTGTTCTACAGTTCCATCACATATATAAAATTTCCTTTTTATAAACAACCTGCTTAGATCATATAAATCACAACATTTCAAAAATTAAAATCTATAAAATTTAAAAAATTTAAAAAAGCAAGTATATTTATATAGGAAATGAATAAATATGCTATGTTTTTATACTTTTGTTAAGATAGAGAATAAAAAATATTTAAATTTATTAGTTCTTTCAAATATCAAAATATATACGACACTTAAAACTTCTAAGTATGTTTATAAACGAGAATAAAACTTCCACTGAAAATTATACATTTAATCATACTTGTAATACATGTTCAATACCATAAAACATTTTGAAACTTTAAGATTATTACAACAGTTATAATTATTTAACTGAATATATGAGCAAGCACTTTCATCGAAATTCATAGTCAATTTCACTTATTTCATTTCCTGGCTGCTGTAAAGACAGAAGAAAGATTATACCATTTACTACCATTAATTAATGAATTGCAACATTAAATAGAAATGAGTATTTAGATTTTTTTATCAGGAAATTAAATATTAAAATTAATACTTAGAATTAAATGTTTTAACATACTTAAATTATTTGCTGAAAATAAAATAAATGAACTATCAATAACATTTGCTAAAATCACTAATATTATAAGATCCCAACATACTACAGTACAAAGTCTCTCATCCGGACATCCATTATCCGGAATGATCTATAAGCCACAAATTTACGCATGAGCATAAAGCCAGTAAAGCGTTTACCCATGTGTGCTTCCGATAGTGAAGAAAGTAACAAGAAAACTATTGAAAATGAAAAAATTTTGATTGACAAGTTAGTCGGTACTCTCGACACAGCAATTACAGGACTTGAACAGTTGAACTTTGTAACTGAACAAGAAATTATGTCTGTTTATAGAATTAAAGAGAAAGTATTAGAGCAAAAAACGAAGCAAATTAAACAACTTACACTGAAAGAAATGTTTAATAAAGTAAACAAATAAATATTTAGCTTTTTTTTTTTGGTAAATTTTGATACCCTTTAGATCATAATTGCTCTATTTCATAATTATGTTTCATATTTTTAATTGTATAATTTCTGCATGCCATCTTTACCAGATTTAATTGTGATCATAATCCGGAAAAACCCAATCCAGAATCGCCGAAGTCCCGCCGAGTCCGTATTAAGATTTGTACTGCAATTTTCCAATTAATTTGGATAATTAACAATTTAAAAAAGTTTTTGCAATAAAGTGAAACTGAAATTAAAACATCCAGGACTTCCAAGATTTTGTATAAATAATTTTTCTTGCAAACCTATAGTAAAAACAGATCAAATAAGCTCATGCCTTACAGATGCATGGTAATCATGAAAAAAATGTTATCAATTTAATAACAAAGTGGGAATTAGCACAGAATAGTATAATATAGCCATTTCAGAGCTTAAATCATTAGTGTCAAAATTAAAATTTATAAATAAACATTTTAATAAAGTTTAATACAAATTTATACAACTTATTTAGGACAAGAGAAAGAAAAATCCTCTAGTCAAATTTCAATATCAATAAAATGAATCAATAAAATTGGTCTGAGAATCAATTAACAAATTATGATTAATCATTTTAAAGAGCAATTTTCTTGGGCTTCAAATTACTATACATTTCTAGTAACTAGTTATATTTTTAATTAACTACTTTAGTACTGGCTGATACTCAATTAAAAAAAACCTACTTTTACAATTTTGGAATGAATCAGTAAAATCCAATGAACAACAAAAATTGAGAAATTGCATAGTTAACCGTTATTTCGATTCAAAAATCCCTAAAATTACTTACCAGCTATCTATAGTTCTCAGTCTTTCAGGAGATAAAATGTTTAGGTCATAGAGATTTTTCATTAGATTTAAAAAAGATAGCAGTCATAATCATCTACCTATGATAAAAATACAGAAATTTTTAATAAAAAACAGAAAATTTATAGATTTTACTTTAAGGTATAATGTAGCTAAATACATATAAAATTATACAATGATCCAAAGGACACGGACACACACACAAACAAAAACAAAAAAAAAAAAAAAAAAAAAAAACACACCTCATAGAATTTTTAGTGTATAACGCAATTAACTAAAATAAAATTAAGAAAAAAAATTCTGAAAGGTTTCAAATTTTAAATTACATCTAAACGGACATTTTTTTAACATTTTGTGTGTTACCTTTATTTATTAAATATCATGTTCTTCGCACTTAAACCATAAAATTCAGTTTAAGAACAATATCACAAAATAATTTTTAAATGAGTATATCTTTATAATTTCCGATACTCAGTTTCATGTGCTAGATTAATAATGCTTTTTAATGTAAGAACTTTTAGGTTTTTTTTGTTTGCTTCTTCAGTATTGAGCAAGAGATAGCACTGCACTCTGAATCTTAAATATATAACTGCTTTTGAATTACCAAGGGTTAACATTATGCTGATCTGTAATGAAATAATATTATTCTAAATCTAATTTTTGGATGTCAGTGGATTGTACTCCTGCGATTTTGAATCATGAAGGTATTTATTCATGAACCATTACCATTACTATTGGCAATGAATAAGATTCATAACATTTATGAATGATTCTCATACTATTTCTGCTGCTCATACATAGTTTGCATTAAGGAAGTCCTAACATTCAAAATTTATTACAAATATTTTGTGTTCTTTTAAGGATGAAGTACTGGGTAAGTCAAAATGAACACAGCGGTTACAAATGGCTATAACTATTTAATGGAAAAGAATTTATCGATAAGAGTAACACAATGTAGATGGAACTAGAAAATTTCTTTATGTAAGATGCAGGTGCAATGAAGTGGAAGTCTACACATGCAAGTTGAAACTTCGCAACAAGAAACCTGTTCATTGTGGGCACCTCATTAGTAAAAATGGCGAGTTCCGTGCAGAAAGCATCCTGCATGTTAGAATTTAAAGAATGTAATTCTGTTATAACACTGCAGAGAAGATTTCATCAGCATTACAAACAAGAACCTCCAAATGCAAACAACATACGCAAATGGCATTGGATGTTTAAAGAAACAGGATGTCTGTGCAAAGGGAAGAGTAAGAGAAGGCCACGTGTTTCAGCAGATAACATAGAAAGAATTCACTGCCCATCTGAACAAAGCCCAAGGAAATCAGCATACGAAGGCAGTTACAAATGCGACAAAAAATGGTATGGCGTGTTCTCAGAAAGAGGCTGCAAATGAAACCATACATCATTCAATTTGTGCAACAATTGAAACAGGAAGACTATGGCAAACTTATGAATTACACTACATTTATGCTAGAGAGTATGGAGGATGAAACAATGACTGATCGTCTCATTTTTAACGATGAATCAACCTTCCACATAAGTGGGAAGGTTAACCGGTACAGCAGTCAAATATGGGGTACGGAGAAGTCGTCCACTGTAATTGAACATGAACGTGGCCCAGAGAAAGTTAATGTGTTCTGCGAGATCTCATGTAAATTGTACTGTCCTTTTTTCTTCACTGGAGTACAGAGGTTCACACATTTTTAAATCAACATCTTCCAAAGCATTGGATTAGTCGAAGTGGAGCTGCCAATGATGTCTTCTACTCTTGGCCATCGAGATCTCCGGACTTGACATCCTGCGATTTTTTTCTATGGGGTGTAATACTTCTTTGGCGAAATGAAGCAACTCCAATGATCGAACACAGCAATAACTTTTATTTAACACTCAAAAATGGCGACATACAAACAAGAAGAAAAAAGAATACTAACATTTAAAAATAAATTGCATTCTTCGTGCGAGAGTCGCACGTGGCACTCGAGTCTGGTTTCAAATATTGCCATTCACAAATACCTTAATGTTCATCTATTTAAATTATTTAAACTACAAGATTTTAATATTATTTAAAGCTGTTACAGGGGTTATGTGAAAGACAGGGTGTTTCTGCCACTCATGCCCAAAACAACTGAAGAACTCAAAGTACATGTTTGTAATGCACTTGCATCGATGACTGAACAAATGCTTTAGAATAGATGGCGTGAAATGGACTACTGCCTAGATGTTGTCCGTGTGACCAAGGGAAGTCCCACAGAATATCTATGACATATGTATACAAAATTTTGAAGTTTCCTCTACATTATGTGCTAATCTTAATGATAAATTCATTTTCAATAAATAGTTATAGCCATTTGTAATCCCTACATACAATTTGACCTACCCTGTATAATCTAGCAAACATAAGAGTAATTAAATATTTTCATTATCAAATTACTTTCCACAATATACAGACAAAAAAAAAAAAAAAAAAAATTCTTATTTGGCAATCAATGATTTCTACTAGGTAAACAGTATTTGAATTTCATGAAACTAGTTATATTTAAAATTTAATAAAACACAATTAACATATAACTAACAAATATTTTATTCCAGTGGAATCACAAAAAGTTTACAAAGTCTTCTTACTTCCAGTGCTGAAATTGTTTTCATAAAAATTTCCATTTTATTCTGGGAACTTTGTAATTGTTAAAATCTGTGTAGGATCAATAGTTAAGGAAATAAAGCCTGCAGCCGCCTGTTTAACGTTAACCACAGTGTGATTATAATGGCTATACACAGCTTAAAGTGTGGGGGTCATCAAAAAAGAAAAACCTGTTTTAAACAGTTTTATCAAAAATAGTTTTTGAGGTAGCTTGACAACTTATACGGACGATTCGGAAACTAACCTCCATTTCGCTGTATATAAAAAATTCACATAGATTGAACAAAATATTTATTTACATCCGAGGGGTACAGCTGTCCTATTTTTCAATACAGTCATCATGTACATTGTACATCCTGCAAAAAGGGAGGGACAGTTCTATATCTCCCATTCTACTGGGCTGGTTCATGAAATTCAAATTAAGGTTTTCATGTCCCGAAAGCACGACTTAGTATATACAAGTAGCCCTCGAATAACACGGTAGATAGGTTCCTAGAAAATGCCATCTTGTGTGAAACCATGTTGTACGAGACCCAAAGCTAGTATAAAAAAAAGGGGGGGGGTTACTTTCCAAAAACTTATTAAAAACTTTTTTTTTTAATTCTACAAAAACAATTTTACTAAACAAATATATATGTGTACAACACAAAACAACAAATATTACATATTTTAATTTAATGCAACTTTAGTACAATAAAGTTCTTTGTTGTCACTGCTCAGTATAATCAACCGAAAAAGTTTCTTTGGCGGAATGAGATGGCTTTCACTTTCACAATTTCTTTCTTCATTTAAAGTTATGGCATTTTCTTCCCTCTTTAAAAAATCTCTAATTTTATTTGCTTACTAGTTCTTACCAGATCAATGTAAATTTCACGATATGGACCTACACAGTTTTGCAGCTCCCTTTTGAATTTTCGGCTTATTTCAGTGGAAGGGTCTGTACTCAAGAAAAATGATTAAAGATTTTTAGCTAAGCTTAAGCCTTCTTTTAATTTTTTTAATGTTAAATTATTAACTGAACTATCTTCATCAGTGCCAGTGTCTTCAGAATCGATTTGATTTACGGCTTCGGATGCCATTTCCATCTAATCTGCTTCGCCAATTTCTTCCGCTAATAAATCTTGGATGTCCTCAATAGCCATGTCGACAAATTGCATCCTATTGATTTAGCAAGTTTTAATAAGCTAACAATTTCATTTTCTGACGATTCATGCACGTTTTCCATTCATCTGAGAAGGGACATATCTTCTTCTAACATGCATTTAACATCGATGCTTTCAGTTCGTTCAGAGACGCCGATACAATGCTTGGTTGAAAATGTCTCACAAACTTCCATTACCTTAATTGATTTTGAATCAATTATGTCTAAAATGCACTGTAATACTCTTCTTATGTAATACATTTTAAAGGTATAAATAATACCTTGTCAATGGTTGGAGAAAGGAAGTAGCGTTAGGTGGTAGGAACATTATTTTGATGTTGAGATGGTTCAAATCTTGTGGGTGACATGGAGAATTATCTAATAGTAATAAGCCCTTGAAGCTCAAAAATTTATTGCCTTAAATAACGTTCAGCACAAAACAATTTAAAAGCCACGCTTTGGTTTCATAATCAACACTCTAGAAACTTCATAATCAGCCGATGCAGATTCTCCTTGAATTCTTATGCTATAAATTGCAAGATGCTTTTTGAAATTTTCAAACCAACCTTTACTTGCAAGGAAATCTGGGTTAATAGAGAATTCTCCATGTTCTTTAAGTTGCTTGAAAACTAAGTGCTTTTTGTTTAATGATATTAACAGCCAACGGAAATAGTTTTTGACAGCTATCATGAATCCAAATGCTGAGTGCCTTTTCCATCTTCTCAATATTATTGGTGCCCCAAGGGCTGCACGTTTTGAAAATGCCTAAGATCCTGCAGCAAATGCATTTCTTATTTCTTTTTAATTTTTCGTAATAGTCTGGACTGTTGCTTCATTGAAATTAATACATTTTCCAGTGTGAGATGCTTTTCCCCTTTCAAACGACTGTCAAAATTTGTATCTTTACTTCTAAAGCAATGAAGTTCCTCTTAAACATTGTTTTTTTATCTTTATCAGACATGTTTTGGGACTGAAACTTAATGTCTTAAAGATGAAAAAGTCATTCTTTAACACACTGTGGCTAGACGCAGACTGAGACACTTGTTTCCAGGCCACGGAGATGAGGATTCGAATTTTGGAAGCCGAACACGCAGGTTTGCATTTTAGAGCACTTGTGACCTCATGTTGTTCACCTTCTACAATAGTGAAATTTCCTTCATTGTTACCTGAGGAATGTGCTCTCTTGAGACTGGGTATTGTTTCTGTTGTGCAATTGTGCTTTGAAGGTATGGAAGGAAACAATTTTCCTCCATTACCAGTTAAGAATTCAACAGTCGCTCTTCGCCACGTGGCTTGCC